AGACGTGGTGGTCGTCGTGACACGTCAACCTAGTAGTTTTCCGACGACTGGCGGTTGCGATGTTTGCAACCCATCTTGCAACGCCTGGCATTGTCACCGAATTCACGGTGGTACCAACAGATGCCGTCCGCGTCTAACGCGGGGCTGTTTGTGCGACTGCGCGACGGTGATCTTCGGCCTCGTGAAGTTGACCGGGTCATGCTGCGACCCCTCATGACTGTCCCGGAGTTCCGTCATCTGTCGTTGTAGGTCATCGAGGGTAATCGGCTGTCTGCTCTGGCGTTCTTTCATTGATAGTTGTGCGATCGTAGCGCGCAACGTTTCGATTTCCTTATCCCTATCGCTAGGAGTAGGGGAAGATGGAACCGCTGGTGTAACGGCGTGCAGCTGCTGCCGCTCCAGTACAGCATCAGCCGCAGCCGCTAACTGGTTTAAGTCTAGGTCCATTATGTCCTGTACGGCGTTCGATATCCGCTACAACCACAACTCGCGAAGAAGTGATTCGTGCATGAGAGATGGCTATTTGACGCATTTCCCGTAGGAGCATTAAAGGCATCTTGTTGCGGAGCGTCAGCGTGTGACAAAGCTGGGTTAGCCTTGTTCGCTCGGAAGGAGCAGCTTCCGCTAGGATCCGCTCTTTCAAGAGCCGATACCTATTTTCGCTAGGGTCCATGGGAAAAATGTCCTCCGAGGCCCCAACTTGCGCGCGGCTCAACCTCGTGATGAGTTGTCCGTACATTTGGTCATCGGACACTAACCCTTTATTGCGCAGCGCGTGCTCAAAAACTGTGAACCATACCAACGGCTTAGTTACGGCTAGGTCGGGAATAGGCAAACATTGCCCCAACGACAGGTTTATACTCGTCAAACATTATGAAACGTCGCGTAAATAACAAAAACCAACAACAAATAACAATTAGTAGTACGTAAGAATAACGGTCACAAAAACGATAAACCGTAAAATGTTACAATAAAAAATATTGCGGTTCGTAGAAAACGTACGGGCTCACCACATTAGATAGCTCAACGCTATCTATGACAACTAAACGCAAGTTACCTGAACAATCCTGAGTGCAGTAGCGAGCAATACGACTATTGCTCCGAACGAGTAAGAAGACAGACAACTCGTGACCAACGGTGTATAGGACGAGACCTACAGTGAAAGGTTTACACGTGTATCGATGGTGCGTGACTCACCGGGACAAGTGACGATTCCGCGGTTGAGCGTAAACAGGTTAAGTGTACTTGGTAAAACAAAGCTCGTTGCGAGTAGATAAGAAGTCTTAGGCAAAGGTGAAAGTGACGTGTCACTACAGATGCAGCCTGTTTGGAGAAGGTCCAGAGATTAGGAACAAGGATGGTTGAGGGTATGCGGGGCAAAACATACAAAGGAAAGCAGTACGTGCTCGGTCTTTTTCAGCTAGAAAAAAGGAGATTGCGCGGAGATCTCATCGAATTATTTAAGATCAAGAAAAATTGGCTGGGTTTAGATCCGGGGTCCTACTTCACTGAGGCTCCCCAACAAGGAACGCGTGAACATGAGCTCAAACTTATGAAACAGTATTCTACGCTGAACTTACGAGCACATTTCTTTGGAAATAGGGTAGTGGAAAATTGGAATAAGCTACCGTCAGAATTGATTATGCAGCCAAACGTCCAAGTCTTTAGAAGAGCCCTGGATGCCAGATGTTTGGAGATCTTCCCCGACATGGAATTTTTGGTGCATTAATTGTTTTTATGTAATATGAAACATATTGCGCTACGTTAGCGAGCGGTTTGAATTTTGAATTTTGCTCTATTTCGTTCACCCATTTTGTCCGGTACTAGTGAAATATCAGTAGATAGTACACCGAAATAACTCTTAAAGTAGTTTTACGTTTACCAGTGCCTTTCGTGATCTGCCAAAGTTCAGAACATTTTTACTAGGCGCTTTTTCTGCGTACACTTTGTTGATTCGCATTTAAATTTTTTAATTTTTTGAGTTTGGTAAAGCGTATTTTTCACGTTTTTCGTATAACCTGTCTACTTTTTCATAGTTAGAGGACTGTGTATTTAGACATTTCTTGATTAACTTGAAATGGCACAATCGAAAGGTTCCAACGCGTTTGGGGCCAATTGTTGTGCAAAGTATGTCGCCGTGAGGATTCAGTGTTGTGAAGTGTGGTACCACCAACGATACTCTCAAATGAGCAAAAAGGAGTATCAGCTCCACATGGAGCACAAATCCTTTAAGTGGGTGTGCAAACACTGCGCAACAGTAGCCGAGGAGTTCAGGAGAACCACTGGCTCCCTTGAATAAGGATAACAAACAGAAACCGGAAGGGACTACTTTTGCGGCATCCCTAAATAAAAGTAGAAATCAGAAAAGCAAGAAACCAAAACAAGGAGGTTGGAAAACAGACTATGAAGCTTTTGCAGGCTAAGAAGTCTGCGATTAAACCTAAGGGATAGCCGAACTTCCGGGATATAGTACAATGGATCGAACAGTTAGAGAGAGAACTGAAGCTGCTAAAAAAGAGCAGCGAAGTATCGCTGGGAATAACTGGGAACTTGCTCCTGCATAATCGCGTGGAGCCAGTTATTAACATAGCGAAGCCGAGGCGAGAAGCTGGGCATCGCCATGTGCAAAATATTTTTCGACTGGCAGGGTTGTCCCCGAACACCCCATCCATCAAGGGCCACAGAATTGTCCTGTGGAAAGGAGAAAGCGCACGAGGTCCAAGGCCTCTCTTAGTGGTGTTTCCAAACACTAACATAAGAGATCTGCTACTATTACGAGCTTCAAGGATCGATGATATTACTCAGGGGCGTATAATAATCACCCCTGATAGACCGATCAGGGTGATACACCCAGTTAGAAGGGGGAATAATGCAAGCGGCCACCAAACCAAAGAGTAATTCTTTGCGTACCAAGGACTGGAGAGCCTTTAAGCGGATCCACACCGAAGGTATCAAAGAATGTACAGCATGTAGGAAAGGGTACACATAAGATGACCAAAAAGGGCAATGCTGTGGTCCGGAAGGTGAGGTCGAACCCGCCACGAACACAGGACAGATCACCGCAACCAAAGAACTTGGTTGCAGCTACCGGTCTAGAGAAGGAAACTACGGTGAGCTGAGTACGCATTAACGCAACACATGCGTCAAGCCACCCGTTTTAGAGCAAATGACAGGCCGTCCATACTGGATCTAGTGATCACCAGAACCCCTGGAGACATAAGGACAATAATCCAGGAGGAGCCTCTACGGAAAAGTTATCATGTGGTCTTGCGACTAACGCTAGAAAGCAGACACAACAAACCAGCGGCCAAACTAGGGAGGCGATATGGTAAAATCAACCAAGAAGAACTGACCAGTGCGGCGCAGGATATAAACTGGGTACCTAACCCAGGTGATGCGTCTCTGGAAACCAGATGGAGCCATATAAAGACAGGACTTCTCCTAATTAAGGATAGGTTTGCGTCTTTGGTTCCGTTAGGAAGGAAGCAACAGCCTCCCACCATCTGTTGGAGCATAAGATGAAATTATTGGGAGTAAATGGGCAAGTCAGGAACTGGATAATAGGTTGTCTTACGCAGAGGACGTTTAGTGTCAAAGTAGGAGCTTACACATCCGGGGAGGAGGTGGTCACATGCGGCATACCCCAAGGATCCGTGCTTGGACCACTGCTGTTCCTACTATAAATTAACGACCTACCACGGGATCTCCAGAACCCCTGTTTTCTGTTTGCAGATGACGTCAAGATAGCTGGATGGGATCAAGC